TAGGCCCTATATTATGTCTCAAGGATGGTCCTCCATCACTAAGCAATTATGAGAAAAACACATACCTTATGCTCTAGCAAAGGCTTGAGAAGCACATCCTCTCTAGTAGCTACCTCTAGCCTTCTAACCATAGACCTTGTTAAAGGTCCTAGAAGTGACCATTTGGCGAAACACATTTAATGCTCACATTTAAGACATCAACAAAAATTTCTTTCTAAAAGGTAGGAAGACGAAGAAAGGCAAAGCAATCCTGTAAAAGAAGCTCAAGGATTTGCAACGGTTATCTTCATGAAATACCTATATAAAGAAGAAGTTGAAGACTCTAAAGAAGAGAAGAACAACCATTGTAAAAAATTCATTTCATTCATTTTGTAAAGCTTTGTAATTAAATTAGTTGTATCATGTCTTGTGAGTAAGATGAAACAACAAGTGATTTCCCAACTTTAACCTTGTGTTATAGCTAGAAGCCTAAAAAGGCTATGTTATAAAGAATACTTGGTTGTTGAAGTCTAGAGAGGTTCCATTGTTCAAAGAATACTTAGGTAGTTGCTTGAAGAGGCAAGTCAAAGAATAGTCGGGTTCACCTAGAAGTGGCTTATGAAAGAATACTTGTATCTTTGCAAGGGTAGTGGAACTTGATCAGCTTGATCAAGAAATGGACCTAGTCTCGATGGTTAAGACTAACTAGTATAAAAATACTTTGTATTTTTTGCCCTTTACTATTTGTCTACACTCTTAATGTCTTAATACAACTTCAATATTTCAAAAAAGTGTTCTATTTTAGATTGAAACTATCCAAACCCCCTTTCTAGTGTCCACTTCACTAAAGGTTGGTGAAACTAATATGAAGAGGGATAAGGGCAAAGCTATGAAGGTTTTGAAAAAACCACAAATGATGAGATATGTCAAAGAAGAGAGAAAAAAGGTTAGCTGATATGAGAGCAAAAAGCCTTGACACATGAAGGTTGAATGTCTTACACTCTAAATGCAATGGACTAGCAAGAAGAAGACCTAGAAGAGTCTAATGGCCACATGTGAAGATTTGGAAGTAGTATCAGTAGTTCAGACGATGAAAAGGCCAACATTTAACTCATGGAAGACACAAATGAAACAAGGATAGAGGTAGAATCTGATGTTAACTATTGTTCTAGTTTCTCTGAAAGTTTGATGAAAAAGAGATGTTTTATGATATTCTTTGGACAAACTCTCATATGATCACTTTTGAGTAAAGGTACTAACAGAAAAGGACTCAAGGATTTAGGTTCCAAAGTTTCAAATAATTTTTGTTGCAGATATCTTTAATGGGAAAAAGAAAGGATTCACATTGATACCTAGACAGTGATTGCTCGTGGTGCAAGACGAGAGAAAAGTCTATGTTCCTAGACCTTCAACCTCATGAAACAACTATATACCTACTATTAATAATGTACTTTATGTTGAAGGATTAGTATATAATATGATTAGCATAAGTCAATTTTGTATCAACGAATATATTATGTCTTTTGACAAAGACTTGTGCATAGTAAAAAAAAATGATGATTCTGTACTTTTTTCTTGTCTACAGAAAGAATAATCTCTATGGGATTAATCTAGTGTGGAAACAAAGTGTAACATGTTTAGTTTCCAAAGAAGATGGAAGATAGATTTTCCATAAAAAGTTTGGGACCATAAATTTAAAACATATTTTTAAACTAAACAAGAAAGGTTTAGTAAGAGGATTGCTTGAGATTTCTTAGACAACCTATCTTTTCTATGAAGCTCGTCAGAATGGGAAACAAATTAAAACTTCATTTAAATTTAAAAATATTGTTTTCACTTATCGACTTTTAGAACTATTACTCATGGATCTATTTGGACAACTAGAATTCTTAGTCTGGGAGCTAAAGAGTATGGATTTGTCATCATCGATGACTATTCTGGATTTACATAAGTATAATACTTCCTAGCTCACAAACACAAGTCTTTCAATGTCTTTGAAATAGTTTGTAAAAAAGGTTCAAAATAAAAAAGGTTTTTACATAACTGTCATCATGAGTGATCATGGAACTAAATTTGAAAAATTAGATTTTAAAATATTTTGTGAAATGAATGGTATCTTCCACAATCTCTCTTCACTGAGAACACCTTAACAAAATGGGGTAGTTGAAAGAAAGAATCAAAATTTACAAGAAATGGCTAAAACTCTTTGTGAGAATCCTTTGCCAAAATAGTTTTGGCCATGAGCTACAAACACAACGTTTTACATTCAAAACAATTTTAATAAGATCATAGTTGAATAAGACTCCTTATGAATTATGGAGAGGAAGAAAACTCAATATATCATATTTCTATCCTTTTGGATGTTAATGTTATATCTTCAAAACTAAGGATCAACTTGGAAAGTTTGACTCTAAAGTGGATAATGTTGATCCGGGTAGAACACGAATCTAGAAGGGGGTTTAAATAAATTTTTCTCCTAGAAGGCTTCTAATGGTTTTTCTTGCTCTCTTACTATTTTACTATCTTTCTTACACCAAATTTACTAATCATATTCAGATTACAAACCAAACAAGGTACAAAGTATATCATATTTATTACCTAGTGGAATAGAAGTTGTAATCCAAATTGATTTTAGTAATTACCTTCCTTCACTTTATTACCAGATTGCATATATCATATCAGATTTCACAACACAACAATCTTTAATATTCAAGAAAACTTTTATTTTTTACTTTCTTGAAATTCTTTTTTATCAATTCAACATGAATTATAACAAGATATGAAGGTAAAGAGAGAAATTGCAAAGTGATTTATACTAGTTCAGCCATACAAAGGCCTACATCCAATTTCAGACTTAACTCCCCGCTAAATCCAGTTTTTCTACTATAATATTCTTTACAAACACCATGTACAAGCAATATTATAATTAGAAACTCAATCACCTAATCTTGATCCCACAAGATGATACAATCACCAGAATTCTTACACCTCAAGAATCCACTTGAGAAAACCTATCTCAAGATTTCTCTTTCACTCTTTCTTGAGATACCCTTATCTCAAAAGAGTAACATACCCAACTATTCCAACAAGAGTTTAAAGAGCAGAATTGATACACCTTATGAGCAGATTGATCTTTCACAAAGAATTGTTCAACAATCTTAAATTTCTTAAACTTCTTTCAAAATAACATCTTTCTTGAATTTTCTTTGCTCTTTGAATGTTTTGAAAATATTTGATCTTCACTCAAAAATGATTTTCAGTTCTTGAAAATGTTTTTCTTTTTCACTCTTTGATCTCTCTAATCAAATATTTCATCTATCTTTTCATATATTCCATATATCTTTTATTTTTCAAAAAGAATTATATTTATAGAGCAAATAAAGTTTCATCATTAAAACTCGTAACAACAGTAATCTATTACCAATATCAGGTAATCTATTACCAACATCAGGTAATCTATTACCAACATCAGGTAATCTATTACCAACATCAGGTAATCTATTACCAACATCAGGTAATCTATTACCAACATCAGGTAATCTATTACCAACATCAGGTAATCTATTACCAACATCAGGTAATCTATTACCAACATCAGGTAATCTATTACCAACATCAGGTAATCTATTACCAACATCAGGTAATCTATTACCAACATCAGGTAATCTATTACCAACATCAGGTAATCTATTACCAATATCAGGTAATCTATTACCAATTTTTAATATACTGAAATTTGTTGACACAAGAATAGAGGTAATCAATTGCTGATCCTGATAATCGATCATTTTCCAACAGAGGTAATCGATTATTGATGTTGGAAATCGATTATCTCGATTATTTTTTAACTCATTTCACTTGTTTTCACTCAAAAGTCACCATGGTAATCAACTACATGAAAGGTAATCAATTATCACAGAGAGGATTTTGAATTCTACTTCAAAACTAAGCTTCAGTAATCTATTACCTCAAATGGTAATCTATTATCTAACTTAATCATGAATTCTTTTGAATGAACCATGTCAAAACACATTGTAATCTCTTACATTATGTTTTCACATGAAATGAGAATAATATGAGTTTTATGCTTTCTAAAACAAGATGTAATTTTAAAATTAATTCATCATAATATGCAAACACATTTAAGCCTAAGTCTAATAACAAGCAATACAATATTTTTTTCACATAGGCCATGAAATACAAAATATGAATGAAGAAAACTAAATAAAACTATACAAATCTAGTACTAACATTATATTTATATTATACTTAATTAATTTAATTGTCCATAATATATGTTTTAGTTAAACAATATATTTTATTTAATTTTTGAAAATAAGACGTTACAGGCATGACTCACTTAAACCATGAAGGCCTTGACAAGTACCACCCATCATGAAAGACAATTAAACTTAATGTCATATGAGAAATTTTAAATTATCTCGCCTACATTTCTTATATATGCAAGACGTCATTATCTCTCTCATGCCTATACTATTATAATTACATGACATACATCTCATACAGGTCATATAAGGGATACATGGTAAACAAATCAATTATTTAAATGATACATCCTTATATAATCAAACCATTTGAAGTGAAACGATTATGACCCCTAAAAACAAAATAAAATAAATCATGACATGCAAGTCGTATTTAAAATAATTCTCTATGATTTGCAGGTCGCCCTCGACACGTAGGCTGCAATAAATAAATAAATAAAATCACGATGTGTAGGTCGTGGCAAATCTTCCGTCTATTCATCAATCTAATTTAGATGGAGGTGTTGCTATCACTTTCTCATCAAACTCCACTTTCTATGTTCTTCAGGGTACGTCTACAGTGTTGGTTGGAATCCATTCTTGAAAATCCGTTCTTCGCAATATGTTAGGAGTGTTGGTGGAACCCATTCTAGAAAATCCGTTATTCGCAATATGTTAGCAGTGTTGGTTGGAACCCATTCTAGAAAATCCGTTATTCGCAATGAGTTAGGATTCCATCAACATTCTTTTCAAAGGTAAACCGATCAAAATTTGATTTCCATAATAGTCATTAGTCATATGGCGATTTACATTTCCTTCGGTAAAAATGAAATGCAATCAAATGGCATGAAACATCATGAATGTCGCTCTGCAAACAATCAAATGGAACAGGATGATACATAACTAACTAGACGTAAACAATTTGGAGGGTTGACATATAGATGCACAAGCCTGACATTCAAAGCTATAAAAGTTTCAGTTCTTCCTTCTTTTCCTCAAAAACGGGATAGCACTAAAAGCTCCGGTGGAGGCTCCAATATTGTTATGAACATTCTCTGGTATCAAGACCCCTATTTCAGAATTATCACAACTGCTAGCTTTTTGAAAGTCATTTGTCTCTCTATTGAATTTACAAGAGGCCGCTTCACCTTGTATCCTATTTTCAGCCTCAGCCTTTTCAGTGCCAGAAAATAACTTATCTGAACTACTTTTATCACGGTCAGTTTCGTCCACGCAATTAGAACAGTGTGGAAAGTCTGCATTATAATCCACTGCATCTGTATTGATATCATCAATTGCATTATGCTTGTCACCTGTCTCACTATCATCTAAACAGAATCCACCTCCCATTTGAAGGTAGTCATCAGAAGAGTCATGATTGCCAGTCACAGGATGACTACTTTCCCCGGCATTCGTGCAAAACAAACCTTCTGAGTCAATAGAGTCTGTAGGCAAGTTCTCTTTTGGAGGAAAATTCGTTGTACTGCATTCTTTCCCCATGTTGAAATCAGTTGCACCACCTTCACATGCGCCATGAGTATGAGATAAATTTTCTTCTATTGGACCACTCTGATAGCATTTTTGATCAAATGAATCATCAGCATCTTCATATTCAGTGTCTTCGAAAGAATAGTTGACAGGTTTCCGTGATCGCATTGACTGAAAAGCACACAAACAGTAAGTGAAACATTCTTATTCTTTTTTGCAAATGAGATTACATTCAATCATCTTGATATGTGAGCCTAATAGAGGAAATTTCTCACTCTTTCTGTTTTTTGACAGATTAAGGATGATGTTTCTGTTTCATAGATGTGATTGAAATTTATAGAGAAAAAATTACAACAAAAATCAATTATAAACAAAAGAAAGTTCAAAATCCAAAGGAAACACAAAAGCAACAAAATTAAGATTACATACTGACAAGCGACCATGGGTTCAAATCTAGTTCTTCAGAATGGAGTGTCCCCTTTTTTTAAAAAAAAAATAAAAAAATTACCATCAAACATAATTGTGCACATTTTCTCTTTTTCATTTAGAAGAAGTTACATAGGTATAACAGAAAATTTTCATTAAGTTGAAAGGATTGAAAGCACTAAAGCACATTCATTTGTTTATTACTTTATTATTAGTGATTCATAAAGGAAGGTTGTCAACAACGAAATGACTTTATGAACACCTACATATTTTTCATTTCATATATCAGATAAATCTGAATGAAGGCTTACCCTTCGCACATCTTTTGGAGCTTTATCCATAAGCACTCTTTCTC